CTCCATCCATCTATTCGAAGTAGTCTCAGAGATCTCAAACCGTTTTTTTTCAATGTGGGTTTTACCTTAGGCCGTTTTCGGTGACGTCAGAGTGCGGTATGACCAGTGCATTCAAAGCATTTTACCGCACGCTCGCGCTAATGTTGAAGGGTTATCTCTGCATATTGTAAAAGTGCATATTACGCATAGTACACTTCTACAAAGATTTATTTTATGTATTGTAACAAATGTCTTTTTCAGACGGTCACCTGCAGATTTCACTTGATATTCAATCTCAAGGTCTTCAGATGAAAAGAAAATGTTCACCTGCGAACATTGCAGACACCAGTTTGATTCGTTGCGACTGCTGACAAAGCACATGCGACGCCATGAAAGAACAGAGCCATACTTTACCATTAAATGCAGTTCATGCCCCAAGATATTTGCAGACACCCGTGCCTGGTCAAGGCACTCGCACAGACATGGTCACTTACCAGATGCGTCTGGAACAAACCTTGAGCATGAAGCAGTGGGTTCGGCCACATCGAGTCAAGTGTCTGAGGCCGCGCCGCCAGCTTCACTCGCAGAAGGAGATGTTGGTGCCAGAGAGCGCACATCACAAGCCGACAGCAATGATGAGCGTGACTCCTCCGACACCGTAGCCTCTTTCATTTTGGGATTGAAGTCACGCAATGTTTGTCAGAATGTCTGTGATGATATTACCCAAGAGTTCAAGAAGTTTGCAGCTAAAGTCGCTGCAGAATGTAGTGAAGCTATTCAAAGTTCATGCGATCATGCTCATGAGACTATTGACCCGAGGTGTCTGCCATCCGTAAGCCCTCTTTACCAAGCTGATACCCAGTCGAAGCTGGAAAATTTGGCAAAGGACGATCTGATGATGGTTCCCCCTCAAACTATCACGCTTGGGAAGTCTGCCAAAGGAAAAACACAGTCTATGCAGTATATCCCTGTCAGAAGGCAGCTTGAATCATTGTTTTCCAACAAGAAGTTCAAAGATGAAGTGAAACTCGACCAGGATGCTCGTTCAGACTTGACGTGCGGTCCTACATCAAATGACGGGCCGCCTGGTGATGGCAAGACAAGTAGTACTAGTAGTCGAGGAAAGTCTGTCAGGCTGCTCCTTTACTATGATGATTTTGTCGTCAGCTGTCCGATAGGCAACAAAACTGTTCAGTACAAAATCGGGGGCATATACTTCGCGGTTGCGAACCTCTCTCGGAATGCTCGACTTGAGAACATCAACCTCGCGTTGCTATTCCATGCGAGTCACGTGAAGCAGTACTCATGGGCTCGCATTCTCAAGCCGTTGGTTGATGACCTGAAGATTCTTGAGACTCAAGGCATCCGTGTTGTTTGGAATGAGTGTGTCGAGACAGTGAAAGGTGTAGTTGAGCTTGTCATTGGTGACAATCTGGCAATTCACGACATCAGTGGCTTCTTTTGTAGCTTTCACCAGACAAAACGAGTGTGCAGATTTTGTCACGCAACCTCAACGGATATCCAAAGCAAGTTTGAGAAGTCCGAATTCGCTCCTCGCTCAAAACAAGAGTATGATGCTGAAATGAGATTGCTCAGTGCGGACAACTTTGCTTCCGACGTATGCAAGGTGTTTGGGATTAAGTCAAAATGTGTATTGAATGAGTTGAAGTCATTCCATGTGTCGGAGCAAACGCCAGGTGACATCAGCCATGATCTTTTCGAGGGTGTGGCTCTGTATGCTGTGAACAGTGTCCTGACATCCTTGTTCGCTCTGAGGGTGGTGGACAAGGACATGCTTCGAAAAATGGTTAACGAATTTCCATATCATAGGACCGACGTGAATCGCCCTCAAGCACCAGTTGTGACTCACTCCAGTGTCACTGCCCGACAGACTTGCAGCGAGTCATGGACACTGCTGCGACTGCTCCCCTTGATGGTGTATTTTGTGATGGGGGACCGTGAAATGTCAGAGGAGTGCGAAAGCAAAATTGACATCATCCGAAAGCTTATCAAAATCACTCAAGTGCTGATGTCTGAAACCGACGACGAGGCTGATATCATCAGGATGGAAAAAGCTATATCAGATTGGCTGAAGGAGTTCCGGAACCAGTATCCAGAGTATCACATGAAGCCAAAGTTTCATTATCTCGTACATTATGGAGACCATATGCGGAAACATGGCCCACCCAGGAGGTACGCAACAATTCGCTTCGAAGCAAAGCATCAAGAACTCAAAGAGTACCTACGCGTGTCAAAAAACAGACGGAACGTGTGTGCTACTATGGCAAAAAAACATCAGGTCACCATGAGTGTGAAATCCGCGGATCCTTCATTTTTATGTTCTGGTGTAACCAATGTGTCAACTTCACATTACGATCCCCCTCAGTTGGACTTGGCACAAATTTTGCCATCCCGCATGGGGGACGACGTAGTGAAGAGTGCAACTTATTGCGGCACAAAGTACTGCGCAGGAGATGTTGTTGTACAAAAATCAGGAAACGTGAAACTAGTACTCATTTGTTGTCTGTTGGTGGCCCACGATCGGGGAAGCTTCCAGTTCATCGTCGAAGAGTGCGAGGTTGTTCACTATGACGAGAAACTGCAGGCTTTCCGTGTAGTGCCAAGAAAATCACAACCTTACATCATGCACCTGAATGACTTGGCTCATCATCAGCCCCTGGGGATGTACCATATCAGAGCTAAACATTTTGTTGTTTTGCGAAATATCATCAAGTGAAAGTAACCACCTGCGCCAAGGTAAATAAATTCATTGTATTTTTTCTACACCTTTTATCGGTACGAAAAGTCATCTGGAAGGGTGAATTAGACTTGTGTCATTGGTTTCGACACGCGGAATGCAATTTAGACATCAGTTCATCTTACATCGACAAAGCGCACCCTCGCGACAGGGGGCGTTCGAAATTGGCATAGTGCACAAAATCGACATTGTTCACTGTATTTCAACATGCAGCATTGGACGTGACATAGGTCATTTGATAAAGACAGAGTGCCAATTTATTTAGACCATGGTCTTTTGATTTCGTTAGCGAGAAACTGTGCCTCGTGGTATTGGATTCAATTCGCAAATGCAACAATATTTTTAGCAAATGTAGAATGACATCTTGATGATATTTTTGCTGAAGCCTGAGAGGGTTTAAGCTCGCATACCGATTTGAAATAAAAACATATGTATCGGTGACTGTTTCCGTGTAACAATTGTGCTATTTTAGTGCCTTGGGCAAAACAACGCATCTTAACCCTCGCCCGTGCAGGGGGCGTTGGTGCACCCCCCCCCCCCCGAGGGTTTTCCGGAATGGTTGCTAAACGGCTTGGCGCAGCGCGCTGAATTTTTGCACAACCTATGGGGCATCCTTTGCGCATCTTTTGGTAAACAATTTTGACTGGGTCGTTTCAGGTCACGGAGTTATGACGTCATAAGAGGTACAGCCTCCGTCCGGGCTTTCACGAAGCGTGTGTCAATTTTTCGGAGTTTTCTGTCTGTGGTATCCACATTAGTAGACGGATCGTGATGAAACTTCCCAATTCCCATGCATGTTGGGGCAATCATTGGCCATCGTTTGGTGGAAGAAATTTGACCTGGTCATGTCAGATTGTCAGGTCACAGAGTTATGACGTCATAAGTGATACAGCGTCCGGTGCTATTTTGAGAAATGTCCGTAGCTCTATACTGCTCCTCCTAGGCAACTCAACAGTGATATGTAGCATTTTAGCACGTTTTAGCAGCACTGAGACGTAATGAATAAAAAATTATGATCGGATTTCAAAATTGTAATTTTTGATTTTGACGGTCACAGTGGTGGACGTGACCTTGCGGACTTCCGGCGCTTCCAGCGGCGCTATTAATAGAGATATTTTATCGAAATATACATGAAATGAGCGAAAATTGATCAAGGAACACGATGGTGAAGGTTTCAAGTCGATATCTCATATCGTTTTGCCGCAATCGTTGCGCAAAGTTGAAAAGTTCTATTTTCCGAAAAAAATGACCTTTAACCGGTCATAACTGGGTCAAATGTTGACCTAGGACCAAAAATAATACCACCAATCGCGAGATCTCGTCGAGAGCAATCCGCTGTTTTTTTTCCGCGAAGCTCTACGACCCTTCGTTTGGAATCGCCAGGGGGGTCGCACCCCCCCCCCCCCCCCCTGTACGGGCGAAGGTAGCAAAACACCAAGTACGGGCGAGGGTTAACTGAGGCATGTTGTTGCTATGTACAGCAAAGGTATTATGAAAACAGTGAAATCCGCATCAACGAAATAGCATGAACAATGTGTAAATAAGATGCACATTGACTAACTTGAGTGACTAATGTCTATTTACATTGAAATAATGTTGTTTGAAGTGCCCCTGTTGAAATCAAGTGACTCGGTCGAAGATGTGCCGCGCGTCTAATTCAATGCAAACTGTCGAAAAGGCCGCACATTGTCAATTTTTGGGCTACCACGGCCAAAGTAGGGTGCCCCTTGTCGCGTTCAATTGAGCGGATGCCTTTTCGTACCGAGAAAAGGTGTAGTAAATAATGTTTTCTCAACAGTTCTCAATTTCACCAAAGTTAAAGATGCATGTTGTGATGATACGATTAACCAGTAGAAAAAAAACAATCTACTAAGCGTCAATAACCAGTACCTATGTTTTGTATGCTCCACAGGATCACCAAGATGTTCACTTACGTAGTGTCCTACTCAGCAAGGCCGGACGGAGTGCCTGTGCACCGCATGGTGACGGTGACAGACAAACGAAGACTGCTGGCTGAGGCTTTGACCTGTTTTGGGCTAAAACGCGACAAAAACTTCGAAATAGAGGTACGGAATGAAAAGTACGGGGTTTTCGTCCGTCCCATGAATCCTGCCCAAATCCCGGACGAGGGCTGTCTGCGGATCGTGTATAGCGATCCTGATCCTCAGCGCAGCCCAGCCGACAGCAACTCCTGTACTCCGCTGCTGCGGCCGACCATAAGCACCGCCGAAACGATCCCAATTCTGACCTTGGAGCCCACCACGGAGACCACAGCCTCAGGCTTCGTCATCGAGGATCTCATTTCACTCAGCCCGTAAGTTATACGGAATGTCATCATTTACATGTTGTTTAGAGTTAGAATGAGTTATGTGAGCAGTTATTGTTGTTGTGAAAGGATAAGGATACAGTTTCTGGCCGGAACCTCCCACATCCAAATCCCTTATGTTCTTGATCCATCCCTGTACTAGCTAGGGACATAACAATTTGAATATCTGTCAAAATTTATTTTAGAAAAAGTCGAGGTTTTCAGGGCCCTAGCCATTGCAGCCTCAGCCTCTGAACTATTCACGAAAAACCTGAGATGTGGGCGAAATGCCCCCCCCCCCGCCACTAATAGGATTCAATGAGGCGATTTTGTTTTATACCGTGTTGCATAGATAACTATGCGCGTTGTTATTTATCTTTAATATCAAATCACATATATTTTTGTTTTCTCAGGCCGGCGCATTCTTCTTCGCTTGTCACAGAAGTTGGGCACAGTGCAGCTTCAACGTCGCAGGCCAGGTGAGGATTGAAATGAAACAGACCTGCCGGATTGTTACTTTTGCTGTTATACAGCTGTTGTACGTATGCTGTTGTACGTATTATAGGGGACTCCTCTATTACCATAACTGCACACATATTACGAACCTTTTTGAAGCACTGTATTTACAATTGCAAAAATAACCAGTTCGCGAAAATTGTCCACAAAAATATATGCGTATCTTCCTTCTGAAACAGCTTCTGAAAAGCTTAAAAGCTTCTGAGACAGCCATAAAAAAGGAAATCCGTGAAACGGTACTTAAGTCTTACCTGGCCTAGAAGGTCGTCGGTTGACCTAAGAAAATACAATTGCACACCGTTGGATTCGGAACGCCCCAAGCTATCCACTGCACTGGTCTTTGTTGCGAAACTCATTCTCAATCAGGAGCGAATTACCGCGGTGATGTCCCCCTCCCCCACTTCCGTTGCGTTTTAGGTTGGTGAAATAGCAAGTGCGGGTGAGGGTGAAATTTTTCTACCACAGTTCCGAAGATAATACAATTTTTAGAAAGTGATATTCACTTTCCTCGAAATGAAAAATAGCTTTGCAGCTTTGATGACTCTGTGTCTGTGCCAGTGTTGTTCACACCTAAGAATGCACTGAGTGTTTTCTCTGGTACTTATGGCTCTTGATTGCAGAGTTATGCTTGTGAGTTTGTGACTAGTTATGCCGATGTCTCTTTTAAAATGTTCTATTTCATCTCACTGCTCCATTAAACAGTGTTCCTTATACGAAATATGTTGTTTCCGTTGTTTATCGCAAATTTTGTGAGTTCTAACCCATATCATATCGTTTATTATAACCCGTATTGTGGATCATAGACCTCAACAATTATTGTTTACAGAGGTCTATGTGTGGATATAAGATGATCGCAGATTAGTAAGTGTACCTATTGGCTGATATTGCTCGTCTGTATCTCTTAATGCTACTACCAGCTCGGAGGTGCAGGAGCGAGAGGAGACGGGCGCCCATAAATCATCTGGCCTCCAGCAGACGACTGAAGTTGAAGGATCCTCTCATCAAGGACGTCGTGCCGGCGAGGAGCACAGGTGATGATAGAGATTTACATGATCACAGGATTATAAAATAGTTTGTTTTTCCATCTTGTTAACTTTTAACATAAAATTTGCATGTGCAGTGTGCACTGTTGTAATTTGTTCTTGGCTGCATTGAAGGGAAATATGTCACCTGCGCCACGAGTGTATGCAACAGATTGTGTTATCCCCTCCCCTCCCCCTCCCGGTTTTCCGTAGAACGCGCCTCGCTGAACTTTCAAGTCAGCTCAATGTGGAATAAAAACATCACATTTAGTTGCTGATGTTAACATTTGAATGAAACATATTGTTCATCATTCCAATGTTCAGTGTCTGTCGCACCCGTTACAAAACATTGTTTTTTTTTTCAAATATCGTAGTACCTGAGAAGTAAATCTAAATGGTTTTGATCCCTTTCAAGGTCCTTCAAATCCTCCAGAGGCGTCTCCGCTTTTTTTTTCAAATATGGTGGTAAAACCATATCCAACGCCCGCGATAGAGCTGAGTGGCTCAGTCGAGTCTTTGCTGAAAAGTTTTCTGATCCGCGGGTGGACAACTATCCGGAAGCAGCATGCTATGAGGTTGACAATTTATCGACTTTATAAGTGTCTGATGATGCCATTCTACATAGGAATCTTGCTTTCCTTAACCCTCGCACAACGGGGGGGGGGGGGCGAACACTTCCTGATGTTTTATGCATAGCTGTTCGGGTAACTGTTCCGCAACTTTCCTGATAATTTTAGGTTCAGATCAACAAACGTCAGGTACCAGGCCAGGTCAAGTGACCCCACCTCTGAAAAAAAAACTTTCCAATCGAGTCACGGCCACAGTACTTGAGAGAAAGATATGAAACTTTCAGGATTTGGTATACTACCAAGTACCTACAAATTTTATATCCCGGATTTTTTTATATCGGTAACCCATGGTCAGGTCAATTTCCTGACCTCTCCATTCAATGGGAAAAAACTTAAATACCTCAAATACTTATCAGATATGCTCAAATCATTCAGAACCATGCTCATTTGGGCTACTGTTGATGACCTAGATGCAACTTTGCATATGGGACCGCCGGAAAAGGTCGTTTGAGGTTAAATAATGTCATGAGATCAATGTACGTTTTTGCTTATAACTTTTGATTGGAATGAGATAGAGACCTCAGGTAGGTTTAAAAATGTTCCCCTTGTCCAGACGCATCAAATGGTATGCAACATGACCTAGTTAGTAGTTACGTCACCTTTTGACCTTGACCTGAGGTAAAAAATGAAGTTGACCTTTTCAGGTCATTGTACTGACCTGGTGACCTGACCTTGCTTGTCCGGGACGAGCCGGTAGTTAATTGTGTGCATACACGATGGGTGCACCTTGGGTAGCATAGTCCTAAAATTTTCAGGAAAGTTGCGGAACAGTTGTCCGAACAGCCAAGCAAAAACCCTAAGGGGGTGTTCAACCCCCCTAGTTGGGGGCGGGTTAGTTTTTTCATTGTGTTCCTTTTCTAGAGTCCTGGATCTGGGTCTCCTGTCAAGGACCACAAGAGATCGCCTACAAGCGGGTCAACAGTTGGTTTTCTCAGAGCTGAGTGAAATCTTCCAGGGAGTAGTGGACACTTTCAGGAGATGTACTGGGAGTAGGTGAGTCAACATTTCATAGTGAAAAGATAATTAACCCTAGCCCGTGTTCCATGTTTTGCCTTATTCGCCATCAAATCAAATCGTGTCACGTACATTATTACCGCATGGTTTCGGTCAAAACGCGACGAATCGCTAACATAAATTATTTTGGTTGCAAGATTGATCCAATGCTTTGTGTTTCAGTTACCCAAAAAGCTACATAAGAATGGCGCAACAGCTGATCGCGGAGTGCCCTACGCTGAGCGCGTGCCTTGAATTGGACCACTCCAGTACCGTGGTAAGTTCAGTACCGATGTATTTTACTTTTGAGAGAAAAAAAAACTTCGTAGAAATGACTATTTTGAACATTCCTGAACTCTCGAACTCATTGACGAATAACTGATGACATGCCGACGAAAAAAGTTTCAGTGTCTACCGATGGCTTTAAATGTTTCCTTTTTACCAGCGATAGTTCCATAGGTAATGGAGTTAATCATCAATTTCGGGAGCATTTGATGCTTGATGACATGAAGTGACCTTAGCTTTGACTTCAGTGATAAAATAGATTAAAGGAAACGACCCACCTTTATAATGGGAAACTAAACTGAGATAACAGTTTTGTAGCCAAGGTCCCAAAACCCCGGAATACCACGGCCATTCGTCCGCGAGAAGCTCTGACACGAAATAACGAAGCGTTAAAAATCGAATATAGAGGAATTTGGGGCTTACAGGGGCTTACAGGTAAAATATCCCAAGAAATTCCCAAGAAATCCCAAGAAAGAAATAACAAATAAATCGGATTTTATTTAAAATTGAAACTTTTTGACTTTTTTTGGAGTGAACAGATGAGTTTTTCAGCCTTGTTAACCTATTGGCAACCTATTTGAAAATTTTCAAAGGTGGGTCGTTTCCTTTAAGTATCTACGAAATAATTTGGGAAAGTCTCAATTGCTGCTTACATATTTTCTTAGTTTACTATTTAAAGGCGGCTTTTAAACCACCTGCACAATGATTTAAGCGGGTCCGGGGCCGTATTCTCATCTTTTCGTACGCAAGATTTTGACTTACGTAAGATAACTTGGTATTCTGACCTCCTTGCGTGCGCAAATAATCTTACGTACGAAAATATCGGTATTCTAATGGTTTGCGTACGAAAATTGGTATTCCATGAGTTTTTCGTGCGCATGCCTAATGAACTGTCAGAATACCAACAACAAAAAACGTACGAACGAAAATAAGTTTTGCGTACGCAAACCAGGACTTCGGCGTACGTACGGAAGTCGGAGCTCAGAATCTCGTTTTGGCGTAGGAAAAGTTTTGGCGTAGCCAAAACATTGCGTACGCAAACCGGTCAGAATACGGCCCCCGGACTCCTTACGCGGTGTTAAAAATCCAAGGATCATTCTAAAATCTAACATGATCTATTTTCTTTCTTGTCATTTTAGGACATCCTGACAGTGAAACTCCGCAACAAATTCACCAACTCTCGGAAACGTTCCTTGAGTCCATCGGTGCAGGAGCGGAAAGCCAAGAGGAAGGCCTCTCTCATCCCCACACAAGTTCCAGGACTGCCCAACTACTATCCAGTGGTCGTCGATGATCTGGTTACTACGGAGAGAAAACTCAACATGCTCCGACATGGCGACGTCGACAGGGATCAGCGCGCCGCCCTCGTGAAGGAGACGCTGCCGGCGAGGCGTTCCGAAATTCTGGGAGGACCCGGAAAGAAACCCCAGAATATCTCAAGCCTCAAGAAAAGGTTCCCGTTCATGTTTGGTGCAGAGGAGGTATGTAAATTCATCTGCTAACCAACACTGAATTGGTTGTGTAGTAGTAAATGTAACTGCATACTATCGAGGAGCAGAGTCATGCTCCATGATGAGAAAGTTTGGGCCTACAGTGCAGTGTAGAAAATCCGAGTCAGGCACCAAAAAAGTGCCGAGCTTTTACTGAAGCGTCAAAATCCTGAATAGATCTGTCTATATCCTGGTTAATAGATAATAGAATAGAAGAGATCCTGTTAATAATTGGCTCGAAGCTCGGCTTCACTCAGGCTGGCTCGAGGCTCGGTTCAGCTTGGCTGACCAGTGTCCCAAAATTTGCCAGTTTGGGTGGGAAATGGCATCCAAATGAAAATGATTTTCCACTCTCACCTCCCATTTTCCATAGCAATTTTTCACCCCCAATTTTACCAGTAACGAGCATCTGCATGTAATGTGTACCTTTGGTGGTTGACTTTTAACTTCCTCTATATTTTCTTCAATCCTCTAGTAAAAACAACTCCCAGTTCCCACATCCTGTAACACTCACATGTAAATTGATGATCCCTGTTTTTCACCCTTTTTCATGAAGCTCGCAATATTCCACTCTCAGCCCGCTTTACTGTGAGGAATATCCCCCTCCGACACCCAAGCAAAATATAATTTTGGGACACTGCTTGGCTCGGTACGGCGTTATTTACTAGTTATCTACTGCGGCCAGTGTTCTTCAAACCAATGGGAAGGTACCGGGGGAAAACCTGCTAAAAGTCTGTTATTTTTAACTGGTCTAATCATGCTTTATGTATCCCTCTCAACATGACGAATGTGTTCTCCACAGCTCTGGAAGGAGATGGAGCTGCTGTCAGGACAAGTTGGCCTGAGGGAGAAGTTCAGCGAAGGTCTGAAAACGTGGCTAGCGGGCATCATGGCCCAAACGGAATGCAGACGCGGTATGTGTACATTTGCTAACTAAACCCCCGCCAGTGTAGGGGGTTGCACCCCCCCCCCCCGGTTTTGCGCTGATAACTCGCGAACGAATGACTTGTCATTCTAAAAAAGTTTTTTTTTCGCGAATGACCTTCCGTAGCATGTCGACGCCTGTAACTTGCAAAGTTCCATCTTTGTTTTGCTGGTGATATGCATATGGATAGGTGTTACCAACTGACATCCAGACATGTTCGTGGCTTCAACGACGGCTTCCACATATCCTTAACAATGACGGCACGTTTTGAATAAAACGACCTTTCTCCTTCGGCTCGCTGCTAAACCTCTTACCCTAAGTTGGAAGAGAGGGTGGAGAGAGACACTCTCTCCCTCTCCCTCTCTCCTTCTCCCTCTCTCCTTCTCCCTCTCCCTCTCCCTCTCCCTCTCCCTCATTCCCTCTCTCCCTCTCTCCCTCTCCCCCTCTCTCTCTCTCCCTCTCTCCCTCTCTCTCTCTCCCTCTCTCTCTCTCTTTCTGTCCCCTATCTCCCTCCCCCATCTCCCTCTCTCTCCCCTCCCTTCACATATGAAGTACCAACCTGGAATATTGTTCCCGCTTTCCAGAGGACGCTGCCGAGACGTTGCTCCGACTGATCGACCAAGAAGAAGTGATCATCCGGGACGAGGAGGGAGCTGCCTACCCGCACGTCCAGGAGGCCCCGGAAGGGGAATGGTCTGTACTGGTGGAACGCACCGAGGTGGCCAGGTGCAGTACACTGGAGGAGGCGCTGCTGCTGGTCGGCGTGAGCTTCTACGTGTTCAACCAGAAGCCTCGCACCAAGTACAAGACCCTCGTCTGGTTTCTGCACAACGAGGTTTTTGGAATGAGGAGCGATGAGATTAAACCGAAGGGCGCCGCGCTGCAGAACCTGCTGAAGTGCAAGCCGCAAGAGTAACGCCGTCCACTGCCATCTCATGTACTCATCTCAGAGGGCTGGTCGGCTGCGCGCCGCCAGCATCGTCGGGCGCCGCGGTCACTTTTAGACGGAACGTTCGTGCGTCGTTGTCGTGTTGTTTGCTGATGCGCACTGTTGCGCCGCCGGAGTCGCGGCTGGGCCATGCGCGCGCACGCAGGAGGCGATTGCGCCGCCGCAGTTGCGGCTGAGCCATGCGCGCGCACGCAGGCGATTTAAGCGTCAGGGGTTCAGAAGTGCCTCGTTCCTCGATTGTAGTTCCTATGTTTCTGATGTTTTTTTTCCAAGCGACGGTGGGATGTACATCGATTGGTGCGGCGTGTGTACGTGCGCGTATGTAGGTGTTCTCGCTGCACTGTGCAGCGTCGAGTCAGCAGGCGCCGCGGAAAACCATTGCCCTTCGTGAAACGTCATCCAATAAAAATCAGTCGACCTTTCTGAAACGTGTGTGCAACGTGGTACTGGGATAGTATGGACGTGGTACTGGGATAGTAAAGACGAGGTACTGGGATAGAACGAACGTGGTATAGGGATAGTACAAACGTGGTAATGGGATAGTATAAACGTGGTAATGGGATAGTATAAACGTGGTACTGGGATAGTATAAACTTGGTACTGGGATAGTACGATCGTGGTACTGGGATAGTATGAACCTGGTAATGGGGTAGTATTGGCGCAGTACTAGGATTGTAAAGACGTGGTACTGGGATAGTACAAACCTGGTACTGGGGTGGTATGAGCGTAGTACTAGGATAGTAAAGACGTGATACCGTGGCACTGGGATAGTAAAGACGTGGTACTAGGATAGTAAAAACCTTGCACTGGGATAGTATTGGGATAGTATGAACGTGGTACTGGGATAGTAAACATGGTACTGGGATAGTAAGAGCATAGTACCGTGATGGTAAATGGTTGGTAAAAGGGTAGTGATTCTAGGCCCACTTTACTGTTACTAACAAAAGCCGGTCAGATTTGCTTTCAGTGATGCTGCTAGGATGCATAGCTTTTGAGTTATTGAGAAAAATGTTGTTTTTCGTCAAACCGATCTAATATAAGAGGTCTACGGGTGATTCAATTACGGCGCCTTTCTTGCATGATTAGTTTCTATTTTGCACTTAACTGTGAAGAACAAAGTCATAAACTTAGTTATAGTCGCACTTTAGGAAAGGCAAGGTTTTGCAATGTTGGGCTATTTGACATATACGTCATGATAATGACAGAATTTAGATTTGGGGCAAGACGGACCACTGTGGTCCATCTTACCCTGTGGTGGTCCATTGTACCCTGCATATGGAAAGTTCTTTTCCAAAACATTGACACAAGTTTAAGTAAGCTAATTTTTCAGGAAGGAGTCTTTGTTGCATGTGAGCCATGCATGCAAGTGTTCAGTTAGCATGCATTCATGCCAAACGACAATCAACACACATGTTCCCAGCTTTTAGCTGCACTTCCATCACACATGAGTAAAGAATAAAGGCTCATTTTGTTATTTTACCATTCTGGTTACTTTTTCTTACAAGAGTACAGAGCAGAAGTGTAACACACATGAACGGATAGTAGGCACTGCTGGGTGGTCCGTCTTACCCCATGTTTTTTTCTTGTCTGAGTTTTTGACATGTCCCTCTTTAAGAGCATCCACCACCTAGATGTCTTTAATTTGAAATTTAGTATTTACACATATCAACAGAGGAAGGATTGAACATTCCGAAGACTATAAATAATATGAATTACGAGAGCAGTGTAGCGAGATATGCGGCCTCAAACCTTAGCTGGTCCGTCTTACCCCACCTTCCCCTACATAACTAAGTTTGTGAAAAGAGTTATGGCAGAATGTCAGGTGTTTACCCCTCTACCACTCGTGACATCTAGCGACTCACATCCGGCAGGGCCCGTCGCCAGCCTCGTTGGCTGTGTTTTCCCGGAAGTCGTATAGCCGGCGCAGTGCTGTTTATAGTGCCTCTCCCGGCCAGTCGATGCCTCTATCGCGTTACAATGTTTGCTCTGTCGCTCTGTCAACGAACACTTCCAGGGAGAGAGGAGCCCGCTGCGGCGTCCTGACCCGACTGACGCGGAGAGAGGGTGACCCCTGACCCGGTCACGGCACGGGTCACAGTCAGGGGACGGGGAGGGGGCGCGGGTCGGACCTCCCAGCTCGCGTCTGGCTGCATGGGCGCCGGGCAGTCTGCAGCCCAGCCCCGCCCCCCCCCCTCCCCACCCGGAAGCGGTCCGTTTGATGTGATGACTACTGACGTCACCGCCAAAGGGTGTGTCCAGAGTGCACGACTCGCTTTCCGCGGAGATGACGACACTGGTCGACTGGGAAAATAGTCTGGTGGGTGACCAGCGGGTCAGCGTGATAAAGCAACCGCTCGAAACGCGGTCATTGCGCTCGTAATGCCGCTCTGCATCGGATTACATCGGCAGAACTCCGCTGGCCGGCACTCGGCAATGAAGGTTATTCTGCTCTTAAAAAATGTCAGTTAGCACAGTGCTGGTGGTCAAAAGTAATAACCTAGCAAATCATTTATATTGCAGGGTTGAAACAAAATTATTATGCATACCCTCTACCAGTAGGCACACTTGCAAAATGACTCCGTGAGCCATGCAAGTTCATCAAAGCACACATATGTGAGCTGATAGAGCCGCCAACCCCAACACCATACCCAGCGCCCTCCCGCGCGTCATGAACCGGGCAGAGCGGCGGGAGGCGGCCGGCAGAGCGGCGGAGCGGGAGACCGGAATGGAGTCAACCACGCGCGTCTAACAGTGACGGGCGGTCGCGACCGATAGGGCAGGCGACCGGAGAAAACAATGGCCCAGGCCAAACAGATCCGCCAGACGATAGGCATCTTCATCAGACCGGCCAGCCGCCCGTCTGTCTGTCTGTCTGTCCGTCTGTCCGTCTGTCCAGGAGTGCGCCTCTGAGTGTGCACGCCCGTCTGTGTGTTTGTGTGTGCGACTGTCCGGGTGTGGCGATACCCAGCCGAGTCGGCCGGTGGGAATCCACTGACCTGCCGCCAGTGACGGCTCTATCGCTGGACGCATTCTCTGACGGTGGGAGCCATCAGTGCCGAGCCGAGCCACCCCTCCGCTCGGCGGACAGAGGTAATCAGGCGGAAGAGATGGTAAGCGGCTGGGAGTGGTGTCGCCATTCACTGGTAAGCCGACTCAGAAGGGTGTGATGAGTAGATGCGCTTGGTGTCTCTGAGGAAGTGGGCCCGGGTAATAAACTGGAATAATATGGTGCTGGCTACTTGGTCAATGTTGTCCTTAAATAAAATAAAAGTGAAAACAATTGCCAGAGAACTCAAGAAACAAAAACAGGTGCAAAAAAGTGTCCCAAGGCCTGCAAAAATCATTTTCACCTTGTGTTGGCAGCAGAGCTGATTGGAAGATGAAGTGTTCAAAAAGACCGGCCAAGCATACAAGCACGAAATTTCCCGAGCCATAACGAAAGCAAAACTCGCCGCGACAGGTCCTCCGCCACCGCGGGACAACGGGACGGCGGTTGCGTGACCGTTTCGTTCCCATGAACTGAAGGATTGTGGGAGACAGCCGATGATGAGAGGGCAGACGGATGGCGAGGGGAGGGGGGGGGGGGCAGACGGATGACGAGGGGAGGGGAGGGGGGACAGCCAATGATGAGGGGGCGGGCCTGGTCGGTGACGAGGGGGGACCGGTGATAAAGACAGCCCGTCCCGCCGACAGTCGACACGGGAGGGGCGTCACCGGTCTCGGCGCCGACCTCAGATGTTCCGGCGGCGTCTCTGGCGCGGCGGATTAGCCGCAGACGCGGCGCGTTTGTCGCGCGATTTGGCCAAATATCCGGCGATCGGCCGTCAGAGTGCGGTACCGCGGCGCGTGTTTGCTTAGCGGCCGCTCGGGCGAATCGGCGGACGAATCGGTGGCATTCCAGCGGTGCCGCCGCTCCGGCCACAATGGGACGCTTCCTGAGCGCCTTTGAGAAGGCAGTGAGCGCGCCGCTTCCCATTGCCGCCGTGAATGTGATCGGAGTGCCAAAATAGTGCGGTGACTGCCGCTCGGGGAAGGAGGGAGGCGGCAGGAGCTTCTGTCGACCCTGGGAACTGAATAAATCTCAGACGGAAGGTGTCGGCAGGTATGCGAGATCACAGCTCGGAAATCCGGCCAGTTCCAGTTGCACAATGGGTCACTGGATCATGAGTGTTTACTGTTTATCCTGAAACATTTATTCCAGGACCAAATATTCAATGGATCATGGATCAGTGGATATGAGCGGATAAACAAATTTTCAACACTTTCATTCGGTTCAAAAACTCGAAAGTGGACATACCTACACCACGAACCAGATGGACTCAATCTTTCGCAAGTAACGACGGATAGTTACGCGATTCGTCGCGAACATCATTTTGATGTCACTGCACACATGTTTGCTGTGTGCTACAGGTGAATGGCCGTGGATTCCAGAAGTTGTGATCAGCATATTAGATAGAAGGTACACCTACCTACAATACTACGATGCTTTTGCTGGTTAGCGTCCATTTTCCTTTTCACTCTAGTCTCTAGCATAGTAGCATGACAAGGTGTCGTGTATCAGCGGTCGTTCTTTCCATTTGGTGCAAATACATACATGTATATTCACCAACCGTTAATATATTTACGTTCAACGAGCCACGAGTGTCCAGAGAGGTTGGGTCGGCCGCAGAGAAGCACTGCAGATGGTCATAATATGATCAGTGATTGACTCAACACACACCGGGCAGGGTTTCCCTCGCCATTTGACTTGCAAATGAGACGGGGACCGACGCGAAAGAAGGAAGCGCACAGGGGCGGACAATAGAGAAAGCCCAGCAGTGCTGTCGCGTCGGTCTCTGACCGGGAGGTGGCGCGCACCGGCACGGTAGAGGCTCAACGAGTCCGGAGGGGCACAGAGTATACAGGGTGTCTCAAAAGTTCGTTCACACATTTCCCATGCCCATAACGCATATAAGAACCGGCCAAAAATCTAAGGTTTTGGTGTCTGTGTGCACACTAGACAAATATGCATGCTTTGACAACTGATTCGGAAGGTTGGAAATCAAACTATTTGCTGTATCTCCAAAAAATATTTGTCCATACCGATTTTCGTCGCTCCGTCAGCTGCCGGAGGCTGATAAAAGGCTACCAGCTTTCAAGCTCTTGTAGGGGAATCCCCTGCAGTTTCTGCGTCGGATTTAGGTTTGACGAGCTCCCCGGCAACATCCGCTTCTCCCTGAAAGCCGACAGCTTGCATCGACACCATCCGTGAGTATTTTGTAGATCTTCTCTGGCGCTAACTCCTTCATGAATGACTGGCGCCGACCTCCCAAGCACCATTTTCCTTTTCAAAACAACCCCATTCCTGAACAAATGGGAAGTGCCAGGGGCAAATTTTTCGCAGCATATCGTAGAAGAATGTGTCGG